GCTTGACATTGAGAGCACTGGTTGGCAAACCTCCTGTTGTCCAGCGCGGAATTGTGAAAGTTCTTCATTTGGAAGCAAAGTTCTTTCCAAAACCTGCAAAATATTTGGTTTTATAATAATAATAATAATAATAATCCTTGCATTTGATATAGAGGTTTTCACGTCTTCTAGACGTCTCAAAGACCTTGCTCAAGGTTTCACCCTGCTGGGAATCGAACCCAGGTCTCTCGCTTGCAAAGCGAATACTCTAACCACTGAGCTACAGGACTCTTCTGGACAAACAACAGGAGGTTTGCCAGCCACTGCTCTCAATGTCAACCTGTACAGTTTTAGCTTGTTAAACAGCACCCTTTCTGCACACTCTGAGGTCCCCAAGTCACAGGACTCCAGGTTTCCACATTAAAACGCTCCATAATTCTGCTCAGTTGTATACGTTAACACATATAGTAAGACTGGGTTGCATTTTGTGCCTTTGGTGCCATTGATGAGCATGGTGTTAAGTTTAGGTGTCTGCTGCTCTTACCTCTGGGAGAGAGTATTGTGGGTTCAAAGCACACATCAAGTCATTGAGCTCATAGTCTAGGTTGACACTCCAATGCAGTTCTAGGGAAAGGCTGCATAGTCGGTCCTTGGATGAAATGTTAAACCGAGACTGTTCTGCAGGTTCAGGTAAATGTTAAAGGATCCCATGAACAATCCGAAAAGAAGAGGGAGTTTCTCTTGGTGTCGTGGCCAAAAATCCCCCCTCAATAAAATTAGACGTTCACTTCATGGCAGGGTCTGCAACATTGCTGCACGTAAATTGGCCACCGCATGCACCTATAAATAAATAGAAACATTGTGAAGGCCTCTGAGATGTATTAACACTATATCAAATGCAAAGATTGTTATCAATCCTTTGAGCCCAGCAGTGGAAATCAGCCCCAGAATGAAATAAAACTACTTGCCCTGATTGATCTGAATGAACACTGTGGCAGACACCCTGACTGATATCTGCCCCTGGGTAATTTCTCGCTGTGTGCAGGTAATGTGGTGTACGTTTGACTTAAAGAAAAATAATGGTGCCTCTCCTGGCTCAGTTGCCAAACATAAAATGGAGGCTTACAGATCAGGAAGGTTCCAGGTTTGATCCCCAGTTTGAGCTGCGTTGACTGATAGCCAGTATGAGAACCTACAATTTTGCTCAGCTAACACAGCCTGCTATGTGTCTCCCAACTCCTACGCACCACCAACAGTGGCCGTATTTCAGCCATTAAACTTCTGCCTCAATTACCCCCAATGAGTGTTAACAAACTACTAAAACATTGAGCACTAAACATATCTTTGTTACTTCTCTTGAAAGGACGTTGCTAGCTTGGATCAGCTGTCATGAGTGCCTGAGTAGCAACATTCATTTTCATTTGTAAAGTGCATGGTATGTTTATTTAACAACAACAACTTGCACTTATATAATGTCCTTCGCACAGGATAGTGCCTCAGAGTGTTAGCTCTGCAGAACGCTGCTTTCAAAAGGCAATTGGATATATACTTGAAAAGGAAAAATTTGCAAGGCTGAAGGGTAAGAGCAGGGGAAGTGGGAATAATTGGATAATTTTTTCAAAGAGTCCACACAGGCATGATGGGCTGAATGGCCTTCTTCTGTGCTGTAAGATTCTATGATTGTATTACTATAATATAATAATAATCCTTGCATTTGATATAGTGCCTGATCACATCTTTGAGACGTCTCAAAGCGCTTCACATGATTCACTGTAAAGCAAATCAATTTTTGCTTTTATGTAGGCAAAACACAGCAGCCAATTGCGCACAGTGTCCCATAAACAGTCGTGGATTGAGCGACCAAATTATTATTATTTATTTTTTGAAGGGATTATTACACCCAGAAAAGTGATCTACCAATTGACTAACAACTGAAATGTAATTTAACATGAAACACACTGTATGAATGGAAGTTTGTGTTATTAGTTATCGATAAGAGGGGCAATTCCATTGCAGCAAACGTAAAGATTTGCACTAGTTTTAGCCATCGGCACAGGTTAGACCACGCATAGGTTGCAGAGCTCACTTAGACAAGGCAGCAGATAGCAGGCAGGTAGATGTAGATCTTCCCCTGCGCCCTCACCCACCTTTCCCCCTTCCCCCATCCTGAGTCACAGCCTCCAGGAGCAGAGGGAAGAGAAAAGCAATTCAAAGGGATTGCAAATAGGAAAACAAATCGGAGGAAAAAAACAAGTGCATCTTGAATCCTAGAATGCTGGAAGAACCCTCAGTACTTCAAGAGTTAACAGAGGAGCCTTCAAAACTCTTTATAGCCGAGAGTTTAATCCATCCAGGAAGGTTCTCGATGGTCAGGTAAACACTGATAAAACATGGATGTAGTTTGCCAAGAAACTGAAATCTCACAGCGGGATTCCCAGACGGTGCGCAATGAAGTACAGTCCTGGCCGATTTTGCCAGCTGATCATTTTCCATAACCGAATATTCTGTTAGTTATTAAAATCATTAATCAGGCACTCAGGCCTCCTTCGCTGCTTCATTATGAGTTCTGAGACATTGCTCTGGATGAAGGGCGCTATATAAATGCACGTTGTTATTGATGTTGTTGTTGTATCGTCGGGCAGGGGGTGGGGGGTCTTGAGTGAATGCATGGGTATACAGAAGTTGCTCAAAATAAACCACAATTTGGTCAGATTATTGTTATTTCTCTTAACGCAAACATTGCTCCCTCAAGCATCGTGAAATTGGAGGCTTTAAAACATTCCCGTTGCTGTGTTCTCAATTACGCCAGATTTGTCGAATGCTGTTGCCTTAAGAAATTATTTAGTAATTGTGCAATTGACAGCTACATGATTCCTGGTAGAAGGAGACTGTGGCCTATTGTTGGCACCGCCTTGTCATAAAATTTAATTTCAGATGGCGCTGTATTGTTAAGGGCTTTGAGATGGCGTCTAACGTGGCAGGGTGGTAGTTAAATGCAAGTTGTTGTGGTGGCGGTGGTGGTGGTGGTCGAAAAAGCTTATTGTCAGTCTAAAGTTGGAACCAAGCTTTTTCAAATTGAGACCAAACTTAAGATTTTTTCCATTATTCTGTGTAAAATGTACGATAGGACAACCCCTCACTTCCCTCCTATCCCACTCAGCTCAGGCTCCCATTCCTTCTCCAGAGGCGAACCGGTAATATGAAGGTGACTACAATGACTGTTTCTGGGTGACTGCTGTCTGCAATTGGCTGCCGAGTCAATATAGTCAATTAAGAACATAAGAACATAAGAATTAGGAGCAGGAGTAGGCCATTCGCCTCCTCGAGCCTGCCCCGCCATTCGATAAGATCATGGCTGATCAGTTATATAGTATAGTCTATATAGTATAGTCTATAAAGCTATAGTATAGTCTGTAAAGCGCTTTGAGAAGTATCAACGATGTGATAAGGAGCTATATAAAATGTACGTATTATTACAAACTGTGTAATAATCAGTGGCTGAGTATTTAATAATTTAATATTCACAGTACATAATCCAGAAGTACCTTAATGTTTACAACACTTATAGAGTACTAAATATTCATAGTACTTACCCATGCAGTGATGAATATTCATTATGCTCCTAATGTGTACCAGGGGATATTTGCTGCTCACGCCCTTTCATCAACAACAAGCTCAATATGCCATGTGTTTCTGACACTCCATTCCTAGCATGCTAGCCCACGGGAATTCACCAGAGTTAGAGATACAGTGGTCTGCCAAAGTAAAGGAATCTGTAGCTTAGAGCTGCAGTATTGCAGCTGTAGTTTTTCCTCTCAGGTGTCAGCCTGGCCCTGTTGGTAGCACTCTCGTCTCTGAATCAGAAACTTATGGGTTCAGGACTTTGAACTCACATTGTCTACAACAACAACAAAACAACTTGGATTTATAGAGCGCTCAGTGTCTAGGCTGACACTGCAGGGGTTGCTGCATTTTCTGAGGTGTCGTCCGTCGGATGAGATGTTAAACTGAGCACCAGGTAAACATTAAAGATCCCGTGGCATTATTTTTCAAATAGAATGTCATTTCTCCCATTGTCTTGGCCGACAATCCCCCAAATAAAATTAGCTGTTCACTCAATGGCTCTTTGTGGGAAAATGCTGTGGAAACCCTTAACATACACAGTCATAGTAAAATCCTGTGAAGCGATTTGAGACGTCTTCCCAATATGAGAAGTCCTGTACCAAATGTGAGAGGTCCTGTACCAAATAATATTATTAATAATATTCATAATAATAATGCCCACCTTGGCCTGATTGAAATCAGAAATTCACTGTGCAGGGAATTGCAGGAACGGGTCAATGAATATCTCCTCATTCTGCTGCTCAAGAACCTAAAAGAAAGGAACAAGAAAAGTCCAATTAAAATTTGTTTCCTCTACAGTTTGTTTGTGATCATCCCTTCCCTCTTCTCCCTCGCCTCCACCCCATCTGTCTGGTGTCATATTATCTCAGTTGGTGGCCTTTATGCTTCTGAATCAGATAGTTGTATTTTCAAACCCTTTGTTGGACTTGAGCTCACAGTCTCGGCTGACATTTCAGTGCAGTGCTGGGGAGCAATGCATTGTCAGAGATGCTCTCCTTTGGCTGAGACGTAAAAGTGGGTTTGTCAGGTGGACACTTTGGGACGTCTTTCCAATGTGAAAAGCGTTACATAAATGCAGGTTGTTGTTTGTTGTGAACGTCAAAGATCCCATGACTCTATACAACAAGGTTTTTCTCCTGGTGTCCTGGCCAAGAATACTTCAGATTTATTGATCATTCACATAGTATAGTTTATGAAATGTAATATGATTAATAAGGTCTAATACATTAATAGGATCTAAAACATGCTGATCTGCTGAGTGTTTCTACACTGGTTATCTTGGAAAGTGCCATTGTAAACACACAGAGAAATAATCACAAGGTTTAGAGTGGTATAACTCCAATATCTTGCCTATTTAGTGACACTGTTCCTCATTAGCTTTCCTTTCTGTCACACAGGATATGAGAAAACATGTGATGATGACACTGCTGGATGCAGAACAATCATACGTGGAGTCCCTCCGAACCCTCATACAGGTATGTGTGCACCCCTCCCCCCTAACCCAGCCTTGTATAACCTGGCTTGGGTATTGTGGAACTTCGTTATTTGCTCAAGATCAAGATCCTCGTTCTTACCTTTTAATCCTCCCATGGTCTTGCTCCACTGCACTTCAATCTCCTATAACCCTACTGACTCAGCTGATCCCTGCGCTCAGTAAGCACCTGCTTGGTTCAAATCCCTAATTGTCCAACGCTTTGAGACGTCCTCCCGATGTAAAAGTTGCTGTACAAATGTAATTTTGTATTGTATTAGAAAATCTTTTAAGAAATATCACAAAATTCCTCCGATAATGTGAATGCCTGAGGCTTTACTGGGCGAGGTTGTAATGCATTGATCTACAAATGAGCTGTCAAGAGAAAGCGTTTGCTAACTTTGCTTCGGAAAACTGACAAAAGGGCTTAATTCCCTCCTCCAGAAATGTTCTGACACAGTTGTCCGTAGCAACTGGCTCCATCTCACTCAGTGAGCTACTCTGCTTGTGCAAGTGCCTGTTCCATGGGAGAACAAGAGCTTTCTATGGTCACAGGTATCGGGCAAATTATCTCCTAATTAGAATTTCCTGTTTCACTTCTAATCGAGCGCATGCCATTCAAGGGAAGCATTAGCCTCTGATTATGAACCACTTATTCTCTTGTGCAGTTAAAAGAGCAATTCAGTTATCCAAATGCTTGTACATATTGAGCAGTGTGCAAACTCTACTGTGATTCAGAGTCAAAATTGTCTCTTGCATACAACAAGAACTTACATTTGTACAGCGCCTTTCACGTCGGGTAGACGTCCCAAGGCGCTGTTACCAGTACACTTTGGGTGTGTAGAAGGCTGTGCCCTAAGATCCTAAGCTCCAACCTCTGCAAATCCCTCCGTCAATCCCCCTTCTCCCCTCCCCCTATCTGTAAGGTTCTGCCTTAAAATTTACGTCTTTGATCGCAAATATGGTCATTTCCCCTTTCCCCCTTTCTCCTCTGCTCAAGGTCTGACACTGTGTTGGTAAAACTTTCCCAATGTGAGAGACAACAACAACTTGCACTTATACAGCACCCTCCGAGCAGGGCAGTGTCTCAGAGCGCATAAGAGGCACTATATCAAATGCAACATGCGAGGATTAATATTGCAATTGGTCTCAAGTGTTCAATGGGTTACAGAGGAGGAACGATCAGTCTATGCTCTGGGACGCTATCCTGTGTGAGGGCCCTATATAAATACAAGTTGTTGTTGTTATTGTTGCTCCTGCCCCATATCAGTATCTGCCGATCCCTGCTGGAAAGTGGACGTGAGGGGTCGTTTGTGCAGATAGAAGTGGGTGATGAACATTATATGGATCATGCTTTGTAATGTGTTTACAAACAACAACAACTTGCATTTATATAGCAACCTTCAGGTGGGGTAGCATCTCAGAGCATTTAACAGTGACGGAGCTTGAGGCTGAGCTGGGGAGAAAGGGGAGGTGACTGTAAGCACAATCCAAGAGGAAAATTTTCAGGTGCGATCTGAAGACATACAAATAGGAGTCGAGAGGGAGGGAGGGAGGGAGGGATTGAGACAGGGAGTTCCAGAGGTTTGTGGTGCAGTGGTTGATTGCCACCGATGGTGGTGATAATGGAGTTTAAACTCAGCTATGATGCTCCTTCCCTTCCCTCTTCTACAGTAGAATCTTCTGCTGCTGCTCACTGCCTAGGCTCCCACCCAAAGAATGACCACTTAATAAAGTACAGTCTGACCTCTTCATTTTGCTGTCTGTTTGAATACTTCACATGGGAACTGGGGAACACTGACCAACAATACCTGGTGCCCTGGCCAACAATACCACAGATTGGTCATTCACCTCATGGCTGTTTGTGAGATATTGCTGCATTTGTCTACAAATACAGATTTCCAGTAAAATCTTGTGAACTGCTTTGAGACATGATGTGATAAGGTGCTGTATCAAACGAGAAGACTTTTGTAACACTGAGGGTCATTTTCGGACCCTTCCCCCCAATTGCTGTGTTACAGTGGAGGTGGACTCTAATGCCAACAGGATCCAAACAGTGTAATATAATAATAATAATACTTGCATTTGATATAGCGCCTTATAATGTCATTGAGCTTCACAGAATAGATAGGTAGGAACGTGGCGGATTGCTTTCTAGGAGTAATAATCCCTTCCCCCCCAAAAGTAAAAATAATAATTTGGTCACTCAATCCACGACTGTTTGTGGGACATTGCTGTGCGCAATTGGCTGCTGCGTTCGCCCACAAATATACAGTCAATTCACTTTACAGTGTGTTCTGTGAAGCACTTTGGGACGTCCTCCTGACGTGAAAAGCGCTATATCAAATGCAAGGATTATTATTATTACTGCTAGATAAACCAGAGGCCCATGGAGTACGGAGTACGGAAAGTTGCCTAAGGTTTCGCCTCCGACCGGCAATCAAACCCGGGTCCTGTCTCTTGCGAGGCGAGCGTGCTAATTGCTATGCTACAGGACCCCTTGAAGTGTAGGTTTCCATGCACCTGGGTGTAAATTGTAAATTCACCTAAGCGAGGGAAAAATAGAAAGTAATTTCATGGAGTGGGGTGATTGCTCTTCCAAAAGGACTCATTGTCCACAATTAATTGTTGGAGTCCTGTAGCTCAATAGTTAGAGCACTCGCCTCGCCAGCAAGAGACCTGGGTTTGATTCCCGGCAGGGCAAAATGTTGGGCAAGTTTCCTTACTCCACACGCCTCTGTTTGCCTAGCAGTAAGTAGGAACCCGGTTGTTAGTCAATTGGGGGATTCGCTTTTCCGAGGATAATAATCCTCAAAAAAAAATAATAATTTGGTTACTCAATCCATGACTGTTTGTGGGGCACTGCTGTGCACAATTGGCTGCTGCGTTTTACCCAGAAATATAGAGTCAATTCACTTTACAGTATATTCTGTGAAGCGCGTCGAGACATCTTGAAGACATGATAAGGCGCTATATCAAATGCAAGGATTATTATATTATTATTAAAATTGTTCCTCACTTGTTGCTGTCGATGAATAACTTTTAATTTTCATTCTGTTTGACAGGGATATATGAGACCGCTGAAGCAGCCAGAGAATTCCTTTATCTGCGACTTGGCTCTCGTTGATGACATGTTTTTCCAGATTCCTGAAATATTGGAACACCACGAGAAGTTTCTAGAACAAGCCCACCAGTGTGTCCAAAACTGGCATGAAAAGCAGAAAGTGGGCGATCTGATGATTGAAACGGTGAGTGATGTAGATTGTTCCTTCATCAGAGTTGCGTCCCAGAGCACTTGACAGTAGTGGAGCCTGACCACAAGTCAGGGAGAGGGGGTAGGTAACCGTAGGCACGGTTGAAGAGGAGAGATAGGGAGGTGCTAGGGCATCAAGGAATTTGAAAATGAAACCTCCTCTTAGCATCATCGGACTCAGAAGGTTGTGAGTCCAAGTAGGAACCAGAGCTCATAGTCCAGGTTGATGTTCCAGTGCTGTCCTGGGGAGCACTGCATTGTCAGAGGAGCTGATCTTCAGATGAGACGTTAAACCTGAGATCCCGTCTCATCTGCCTTTGCAGGTGGACGATAAATAAACTCTCCCAAACGTTTACCTGGCTAAGTAGACCCTGTTCAAAAAGCGAAGCTTTCCCCTGTGTCCCGCACAGCAATTAATTGCTCATTCACTGCATAGCTATTTGTAGGATGTTGCTGTGCAAATTGGCTGCCGTGTTTGGTTGAGAAAGCACTTGGCATTAATGATTGTGAAGTGTTTTAGAAGCACTCAATGCATGTAAATATGTACAAAAAAAATGTATAAAAAAAAGTTTCTCTTTGACCTTTGAAAAATTAAGGGTTTCGCTGAACAAGACACGAGTTTACTCTGAGCTGGACCAGGAGGCATATCAGGAGAGAGTACTGAGCTCTCCCTCAACAGGACCCAATCCCGTCAGCGTTCCCACTCCCGTTCCTCCTTTGGACATCTCTCAGCTACTTTACTGATTTTCCTAAGTGCTGACGAAGTTACATTTTAAGCCTGTGCAGAAATGTTAAGCAATGGTTTCAAGGCAATGCCCATGATGGAGTTGGGGCCTCTGATTTTTGTTCATTGATCCATTGCGGTTGTTAAGTGTATGCGAGGACTGTATTCAACTAATTTGTGATGATCTCCCACAGTATTGGTTCCCACAGTATTGGACTCCCACAGACTCAATATAAAACAATACAAAACAAAATTACATTTGTATAAGGCCTTTTTAGTCAAGACCTATTTGTATAAGGACTTTTTAGTCCCAAGACGCTGGACAGTCAGGGATTTGGACCCGAGCAGGAGGGGGTTGGGATCAGGAAGGGTGGAGGGTAGGAAGGGTAGGAGGATGACCCAAGGCTCGGTTGAAGAGAAGGGTCTTGAAGGAGGCAAGGGAGGGGGCGATGTGAAGGGAATGTGAGATGGAGTTCCAAAGGGTGGGGGGAGAGAGGCTGAAGGTCCGACCACCGATGGTGGGGCGGGCCCACAGATTAGGATTCCCACAGAAAAGGCTCCCATGGTATGGTTTTCCACAGAATTGACTCTCACTGTATTCAATCCCATTGTAAAGACTCCTACAAATATTCCAGATACATTTTTATTTACTCCACAGCTATTTGTGGAATTCAAATTGGCCACCGTATTTGTCTACATATACACAGTCACTGCAGTCGACACTTTATTGGCTCCTTCAGTATGTGGTCTATGCTTGTTGGTTGTTGACAGAGAGCAATGGGAGGTCAAATACAATTGACATTGATATCAGGAAGAATAAAACTCAGAGCTGAAAGACTGAGCAAGTTATTTGCTTCACAAGTTGAAATCATTTCCCATATCCCACGTTCCAAAGACAGCAATTCTATTTATAACCACCTCCTTTCCACTGATTTTATATCCTGTATTTATGTAGTTTCTCATTGCTTAAGCTGAGCCAACTTTTGCAGAGATTTCCTTAATGCTTAACATATTGAAATATTGCTAAAAATAATAATAATCCTTGCATTTGATATAGAGCTTTTCATATCAGGAGGAAGACTCAAAGTGCCTCACAGGATTTACTATAAAGTGAGGTCACTGTGTATTTTGGAGTCCTGTAGCATATTGGTCAGCACGCTCGCCTTGCAAGCAAAAGGACTCGGGTTCGACTCCCGGGTGGAGCAAAACCTCAGGCAAGTTTCCTTACTCCACAGGCCTCTGTTTACTTAGCAGTAAGGAACCCAGTTATTATTTACAAATAAAAGCAAAATACTGCAGATGCTGGAAATCTGAAACAAAAACAGAAGGTCAGGCTAAGTGTTCCCAGCGACTTCTGTTTTTGACTCAGTTATTATTTGTTTGGCAGATCGTTTTCTGGGGCTAATAATCCCTTCAAAAAAAAAGAATAATAATTTGGTCATTCAACGATTGCTTGTGGGACACTGCTGTGCACAATTGTCTGCTGTGTTTCGCCCACAAGATATAGTCAATTCACTTCAGAGTATATTCTGTGAAGCGCTTTGAGACATCTTGAAGACGTGATAAGGCGCTATATCAAATGCAAAGATTATTATTATTGTCTGTCCTGCACTGATCCTCAACACTAGTGATTTTGTTGTGAAGACAGCATCACATTACAATCTGCAAGAAAACATCTTTATTCTGTTCATGTAGCATTTCAGAGTGTCTTGAATTCGTCAAATTTTTAAATGCCGTCTTTGATTGTGAAGCCATCTTTCTATGAGTTTCTTTTAAAAACTACCAAATAACAGCTTCAGAGTTGAGACTGAACGCAACAATTTGCTAAATTTTGGCCATGCTTTAATACTACATTAATAGAGTAAATTTATTTAAAGCTTCTCATAAGAACGTTCTTTATCAGCCTCAATGAGTTTGGATTCTCAATGCACCAGCAGTAAAGTTCTCAAACTGCTGATCCCTAAAATGCACTTCACAACAAATATCCTTGTGATGTCCTCCTTGCGTAAAAAGCCCTCTAATAATAATAATAATCCTTGCATCTGATATAGCGTCTTATCACGTCTTCAAGACATCTTAAAATGCTTCACAGAATATACTGTAAAGTGAATTGACTGTATATTATATGGGCGAAAGGTGGTAACCAATTGCGTACAGCAGTGTCCCACAAATTCGCCCACAAATATACAGTCAATTCACTTTACAGTGTGTTCTGTGAAGCGCTTTGGGATGTCCTCCCGACGTGAAAAGCGCTATATCAAATGCAAGGATTATTATTATTAATCCTGGAAAAGCGATCTGCCAATCGACTAACAACCAGGTTCCTATTTACTGCTAGAAAAACAGAGCCGTGTGTGGAGTAAGGAAACTTGGCCAACGTTTCTCCCTGCCCGGGAATTGAACCAGGCTCCGCGTCCACATCACTCCCACCCTCGCCCGATTGCACTGGCTCCCCATCCGCCAGAGGATCGAGTTCAAGATCCTTGTCCTCACCTTTAAGGCCATCCATGGCCTTGCCCTCTCCTACCTCTCTGACCTGCTGACTCCCTAACAATCTTCCCTGCTCCCTCCATTCATCGGGCTCTGGTCTGCTCCATGTCTCCCGTAAGACCCGCACTACCATCAGTGGCCGGGCTTTCAGACTCTCTGCCCCCACACTCTGGAACACCATCCCACGGTCCCTTCGCCTCTCTGCCTCCCTTGCCTCCTTCAAGGCCGGTCTCAAGACCCTTCTCTTTGACCGTGCCTTTGGTCTCCCTCCCACCTCTCTGCCTTCCCTCACTCCTACACCACCCCTCCCCCACGCTCGGGCCCCGACACCTGAACGTTCAGTGCTTTGGGACGTCCTCCCGACGTGAAAGGCGCTCTATAAATGTAATTTTTTGGTTGTTTGTTGACAACTTTTAAAAGTGCAAGTATTTACAGGGATCCTTCATACAGACCTGTGCACTCTTCATTTATCTCCACATTTTACATGGGCCTGAACCTTCTGAAGGAATGGGACCCGGGGTGGGGGAGACGAGTAGCGAGGTGAGGGGAGGGGTAAAAGAGTTCACACCCGCGGCCTGTTGATAAACAAAGGGTGGAGGTGTTTTACGATGTGATACTTATCATCGCTGACCGTAACCCATCACGTGTTGGAATTTACACCCACGAGCAGGTCAAGGAACTGACTACTGAGCGAATTCCTTTTAGAAATGAAATGTTTTTCTAAAAGGAGTGAGTACGAGGGAGTAATAATTGAATAAAAACATATTGCAGGCGGCTGGATCACGAATAGACTAAATTTAGCCCTAAAATTGCAGTTCTCGAGAGCGAATAGCACAGGAGTCAGTTATGCTAATGGTTGACTCAGGGGTGTGGACACTTCAAACTCTTGGCTGACAGCTTCTAAGTGGATTTTTGAACGGTTCACTGGTCTGTGTAAAAGCAACCAGACTAATTTTAGATCAGGGACCATCAGCATTCTTCTTTCCTGCAGTAGATAGGAACAGCCTAGCAAGATCGCTGGACATACCCTAATAATAATAATAAAAAAAATCCTTGCATTTGATATAGCGCCGTATCACATTGTTGAGACACCTCAAAGCGATTCATAGAATATACTGAAATGTATATTTTGTGGGCAAACCATTTGCCATCTTTCTCCCCCCCCTTTCGTGCCTACTTGGTCAGCATCCAAGGCTGCACTCTGCACCTCTCAAAGCCGGTCAGGAACCTCGGCATTCTGTTCGACCCTGAGCTGTCCTTTCTCCCTCATATCCGCGCCACAACTGGCACCGCCTTCCATCACCTCCGGAACATCGCCAGACTACGGCACTACCTCACCCCTCACGCGGCTGAAACTCTGATCCACACCTTTATCACCTCAAGGCTGGACTATGGGAACTCTCTCCTCGCCGGCCTTCCCGCCACCTCCCTCCACACTGCAGGTCATTCAGAACTCTGCAGCTCGTGTACTGTCCCGCACCAGGCTTCGGGACCACATCACTCCTACCCTCGCTCGCCTCCACTGGCTCCCCATCCCCCAGAGGATTGATTTCAAGAGCCTCATCCTCACCTACAAGGCCATTCACGGCCTTGCTCCCTCCTACCTCTCCAACCTACTATCCCCCTACCTACCTGCCCATACCCTCCGTTCCTCTGGCTCCGGTCTGCTCCACATCCCTCGCCCTAACCGCCCTACCATCGGTGGCCGGGCCTTCAGTCTCTCAGCCCCGAGGCTCTGGAACTCCATCCCCCAGTGCCTTCGCCGCTTCCTCCCTTTCCTC